AGATCTAATTTGATTTCCAAATGAAATGTGGCAGGTCTTTACACTTACTTTTTTCTTTATTTTTTTTTTTAATTTTGTTTTGTTTGGAGTTTTGTATTTTTTAATACAACATATCCAGGTATTACAGTGGACATTTCAAACCCATAGTGAAGAATGACTCATTCTTGCTAGCTATTCTCATTTTTATATTAAAGGAGATTATCAAATGATGTCAGACACAGCATCTCTAAACCCAACAGTGTATGTCAGATTGCAGTAAACACAAAAGCAAGCCAATGAAGGAGAAACACATGTGCTAACACCCAAAGAGATAAGCCAGAAAAAAATACAGGAGCATTCCCATAGAAATAAATGGCACATAATGCCCACATGTGGACACACACACATACACTTACAACACAAGAAGCATAAAATGTCAGAAACTGTACAAAACCAAATGAACTGGGGGCAGCATGTAATGCTGTGGTCAAGTTCTTCTCTAGCATGTGTGAGATAATGAGTTCAACCATCAGCCCACGCGTGCGCACACACACACACACACACACACACACACACACACACACACTTAAACATTTTTTTCTAACTCAACTGGATCAGCCGGTAATGAGATCATGACTTGAAAGCTACCTGTGATGATCAATTTTCACAAATCCAGGAAGAAAGGTTTATTGTAAAGAAAAAGTTGTGTTAGTTCTGGTACATACCCAGACTTCAAGTCCGTTATTCTCAAACAGTTTGTAGCATCCAGCCCCACCTTTCCATTTCGGACCACACTAGATATGAATGGGGACAGCATTGGAGAAATGCGGTTCAAGGCAATTTCTGGAGACATTGTAACTTGATTTATAAGTCACCACTGGAAGTAGAAAGAAAGAAAGGTGATCAGTTTACCAGGTGCAACATAGAGATAAAGCTGTAACAAGCTTGCTGGAAGCTAGCACAGTGCTCAGAACTTGCTCCACCATTAGTCTTCCGGAAGAAATCAGATCCCTGCTGCTCAGATATTCAAAGCATGGGCTGGGCTGTTCCACGCTTTTTAGGAATGAAAGAAACCCTCCTCCTTTCCAAAGATGACCCTTCACTAGCTCAGTCCCCTTAAGCTGCACAGCTTCATGTGTTGACAGAGAGAAGCCTTCCCTAACAGTCCTGTCCCCAGAACTCACAAAACACACATCACAGAGTTAGGTATCCCTGCACCTGTGTCCCCATGAGGACAAAGAGCCTGAATGGTGACAACATACAAAATTCTAAAGCAAACACAACCAACTGTTACTTGCTAGAGCATTTACAGCTGTCATCCCTTTCTTAATAAGTCCTTCCATGGTGGATTAGGACTACCTGTTTACATGAACTCTCCCCAACAAAGACTACAACCTGAAATTCTTACACATAACAAATGCATTTAACATACATTTATTATTCAGGAACATTTTAATAATAAATAAATTAAATGGTAAGTTCAAATATTAGATTTTTTTTTTTTAGCCAAATTTGAAGCAAGCTTTGTTAACTACTGGCCAGGACCAAGGATACTACTGGCTAGGTCCATACCTAAGACTCATGCTCAAAATATGGCATCAAATAATAGATTTATAAAAATAAATTTTAAAAATTATTTTAAATAAATAAGGGGAGCAAGGCTGAAAATTACTTAGGGATACAGAGAATATAATATTCCCTCAAAACCTGATAGGGTGGGAGGCACCTGAGGAAAGCGTTCAATAAACAAGGTGTTTGCTGAGCATGCTTGGAGATGCAAGAGTTCAAACCTCCAGCAACCACATAGAAAGTCAGGCCCAGAGATACACACTTGTAACACCAGCACTGGGAGTTACAGCACGGTAGACCACCAGGGCTCACTGACCAGCCAGGCTAGCCAAAATGGTGGACTCCAAGGTCAGTCAGAGAGTTTCAACCCTAAGATAGAGAATGACAGAAGAAGATAATTGACACTGACCTCCATCCACCACATGCACACACCAAGGCAAATGGATATGCATACTATACACACACATACATACCATGCACAAACACACAAATAACAAGGGAATAGATACAGCAGAACCTGAGGAATAAAAGAAGCAAAAAAAAAAAAGAAAAGAAAAAAGTACTTAACACTTAAATTATAAAAAACACAGACCTGTCCAGATATTAGCAACAAAAACTAATTGGTCTTTTTGGTCTTTGATTTTTCAGTCACTATGAATCTCTACCATTAATGATATAAAGCAATAAATCACATCAACACTACTTGGATACTCATAGAGCTGGAGGAGAGGGTGCATGGATTCCTAATAGACTTCTAAATGAAAGCTGCTATTTTAGAAGTGAATAAGTCAATTCAAATGATCATTGTCTTTCTCAATCTCAAAGGTTAGTTCCACATTGAAAACTAATTAATTTCCACTCAGTCACAATCATGAGTACCTGCTGCTCTGGTTCTAGTGTCTATACACTATGGCACATAAGGACTTACAAGCTCTACTAAATTGAACACTTGTTTTATCATTTTAGATAGTTACAAAGGAATGACTATAGAGATATTTCCAAAAAAAAAAAAAAAAACCATGATGCCACCCAGAAATATTTCTGAAGTGGTTAAGCTTTATACCATATACTTTAGTATCCAAATGAGTCTTTTCTAACTCCTTGGTAGGTGACTTTCCTGTACCATTCTAATACACCATCCATCACAAGGCAAGAGTAAACATTTCCTCTGTTGTACTGTCTATCATAAAAATAAACATTTTATGGCACTGCATCATTCATAAAGCACTTCTCTATGCAGTATTGCCATTTACCACCTTTATAAGGCAGGCTTCCAATTCCCATTTTCCACATGACAGGGGTAACTGCTTTTTTAATAATATACTACTCACACTATCACCTTGAAGACTTTTCTTTCTAAATTCTGCAGTACTTCCACCTGATTTCTAACCCCCAATGTCACAGTTCCTGAAGGAGATGCTTACTTACATCACACGCAAGACACAGACGCGGTCATCTGGTAGAAGCAAACAGAAAAATCGCTCATGACTATAACTGATTTTTGTCATGATTTTTTCCTCCCAGTACCTACTATTTTACCTCAAATTCCTCTAAGAAAGAAAAATAAAACTAGCACATTCTAAACATCACACATGAGCTCTCTGTTACTCACCTTTCTGTACAGCTAACCACTCCCCCCCCCACAGTAGTTTCTTACTATTGTTTCCATTTTATAAATACAAAGTTACTTAATGTCACACACAGAGCAAACAGACGGATTTGAATTCAAGTCCAGACCTCTCTCAAAGTCCACTCTTCCTATTTTCCTCTCAAGCTTTAACTTCCTTGGCCACTAAAGAAAGCATCAAAGTGGACTTTTTAAAGCATACACTTGTTAAATATGAAGACATGGTCATAAATTTGCACACTAGAAACTAGCTAGGCTACCCAGTGTTGATGCTAGCTAGCCTGAATGATTCACTAGTTAAAAAATGCCAAAAGAAACAAACCTACTCCAGATGCCAAACCACAATAGTGATTAGGACAACCTATTCCACTTCAGCAAGTGTCCAGACTTTAGGATCACACCTGAGGGAATGGATTTCTGTCTTTGTTTCTAGAGCGGTCATAATACAGCTTTTTGACAGTGCAAGGTTTGGTGTAGCTTAAAGATGTTTCAGTTGTGAATAAACAAAAGCTGATGGTCCTTTGGTACGATATGCAGGGATATGGGTTGGAAACACCACACACACACACACACACACACACACACACCCTCTTTTGCACATGGCACCCTTATAACGGATCCCTGAGAGGCAGGAATTTTTGGTAGCCAGACTTTCATGAATGCTTATTTTACAATTTGTATTTCCTGATTTTGACGTATTGCAGGAGGAAAATGCAAATATATACTTTTATAGAAATCTGCTGCCGCAAGGTAAGGTCACATAAGGTCTTTTGGTGGGTTGGCTATCTGGGGAATACAAAGACGTATAAAGCACCGATCAGGCTCTTGCAATTAGGAGGATGACAAACACGGAAACATGTGCCCCGTTGACGTCATGGAACGGAAAGGGTGGCCTCTTGCTGCATCACGTTCACGTCATATGGCGCACGAGGGAAGTTACTGTGGGGGTGCGATTTCTCCACTGGGCAACAGCGGGGAGGGATGGGAAGAGCGTGTTCAGATCCGAAGAATGGCCACCCACTCTGAGGAAAACCTAAAGGGATCCAACCCTTTCCCCCAAATTGTATGATTCCCCCCATGAAGCGCAAAAGAAGCAGATTTCATCAGGGACCAGGAGTGAGCAAGATACGTGGAGAGGGGGGAGGGGAAGGGAAGGAGAGGAGAAGGTGGGAAGGAGGGAGGAAGGGAGGGACAGAGAGAGAGAGAAGCCTCAGGTCTTGGAGGCTCGTTCTTGAGGGGATCCGCGTGCTGGGGGCGAGCAGGGCATCTTTGGAACGCGGGCCTTCTCTTGAGGAACAGGCTATCTCTCTGGCCATCCTCAAACATGGCTCTCTGTGCCACCTGTGCGACTGAGATCCAACCTCCCCGCACCAGCCCGGGTCCAGGTACCTGGAACTTAGTCCGATCAGTAACCGGCGACTGGACAGGGTACAGGTTACCCGAGCGCGCCCCCGACCGACGCACCGACCTGCGCGCGAACCGCGGGCCGGATGCGTGCGCGCTCCCCCGGACGTCCCGCCCCCTCCGGAGCCGGGCAGGCGTGCGCGTGCCCGCGCCGAGCCCAGCCGGAAGCTAAGGAAGGCGGCCGGGTAGTGCCTGAAGCTTCCCCGCGGCTCCCGCCTCGAGTCGGGCGAGCGACGCCGACTCTCGCCGTGGTGGCTGAGCCCTGTGCCGTGCGGCGGGGCGGGCACAGGGTCCTAGACGAACGGGGAGAAGCCGGGGGCCGGGGAGATCTCACGGGCATTCGGGTGGGCGACCCAAACAGGCGTGGGGGACGGCCGCGTCGTTAGGGAAGAAGGAGCGGCGTCTCTGGTTACGGGGTCAGGCAAAGGGCAAAGGGCAACGTCCGGGTCGAGCAAGGTAGTAATGGCGGCATCTGGGGAGCCCGGGAGGCCCTGGCAGGAGGAGGTGGAGGCAGCGGTGGTAGTGGTGGGTTCCTGCATGACCGACCTGGTCAGGTTAGTGCGGGGTCGCAGCGCAGGGTCTCGGGAGGGAGAGCCCGGGCCTCGGATCTGTGGGCACCCACCGTGGAGCTTTGCTGTGAGCTTCAGGTCCACAGCGCCACTGGTGACGTGGAAAAGGCAGAAGTCAAGTCTGTGGAAGTCAGTGACAAGGGAAAAGGCTGGGCGCCGCTGAATGCATGCTCTGATGCTGAAAGACACCCGCAACCCCTCCCCAGACACCTGCACCTGGTTGTTGGCCAGGCTGCCCAATGGCATTTTAACCTCAGAGAATGTACCTACCCTACAGGGCTGTAAGGCCAAGAAGAGTGTTGTCAACCAGCCCCAATGGGGTATTACTTGACTTGAACACGTGTGAAATAAGGCGTCGAAGCAAAAAGACACACACCTTTCCACTCTGTCGATTGTTGGCATTCCTGCAGTGTTTCATATTTACAGTTTACTTTTATGTAGAAATGAGCCATGGGTCAACCTTGTGGTAAACTCAAGTGTGACTCAAAAACAAAACAAAAGAAAAAAGACATGACAATTGTAACTACTAAAAAAATATGCTAACTGAAAATAGTTGAGTTAGATTGTAAGAGAGGTCTTTCTGGTTTGTGTCATCTTTGTTTTTATAAAAACGGTTTTTATGCATAAAAGTATACGTGTTGCAGAAAAATAATTCAAATATTCCAAGAAGATCCATACCACTCCAGTTCTGTTTATGTTAATAACCACATTTCTAATACAGTGCAATTTAATATCATGTTTAAATGATTAAGTCTACTACGATTAAGACCTCATCTGACCCTAAATTTATTTCCAAATGATAACAGAGAACCTTGAAATAAGGCCTTTCTGTAATCAAAGTAACCAAATCCTTGCACCCAACTACCTATATCTACTTTAAAAATAGCTCCATGATTTTCATCTATCCAACTTAATCTTGCCAAAAAAAAAAAAAAAAAAAAAAAAACATTTACAAATTGTCATTAGGGTCATCAAGATGGCTTAGGAGTGGTTCTCAACCCATAGGTTTTGACCCTTTGGAGGATCTGCGCATCAAGTATTTACATTACGATTCATGACAGCAGCAAAATTACAGTTATGAATAATTTTATTTTTCAAGACAGAGTTTCTCTGTGTAGTCCTGGCTGTTCTGGAACTTACTTTGCCTCCCAAATGTTGGGATTAAAGGCATGCTCCATCACTGCCCAGCCAACAAAAATAATTTTATGGCGGGGGGGTCACCATAACATGAGGACTGTATTAAAGAGCCATAGCATTAGGAAGATTAAGAACCACTGGCTTTGGGGGGAAAGGTACTTGTCCTAAGTCTGATGACCTGCGTTCAGTCTCTGGAGCCCACTTGGTGTAAGGACAAAAACTGACTGACTTCCTCATGTATGATGCACACATACACACAATAGACAGGATAGATGAATATGTATTACCAAATTATCAAACTCAGCATAAAAAGTGGGACAAAAAAGGGAGACTGGTAGAGGCAAGTGTGATTGACAGAAACCCCAGTCAGTATGTTGCAGAGACTAGAAAGATGGCTCAACAGTTAGGAGCATTGAACTATAAGTGATCCCACACTGCCTAGCCTCTAAGGGTACTGCATTCCTCTGCCCAAACCCACACATACACACAGTATTAAAAATAAAATCATTTTTTTAAAAGTGTAGCAACAGAAAGAGAACTTCAAATAGTTAAATTTTACATGCCTTTGTATGTGTTATGATGGAATTGAACCCAGGTCCTTTGCATGCCCAGCAAAGCACTTTACCACTGAACCACACTCCTAACCTTTTATTATTTTGAGACAGACTAAGTTCCTATGGACTTGTACTGCTTAACTCCGGCAAGCCTTAACCTTGCTACCCAGCTGTATCTGGGATTAGAGGCATACACCACCAAGTCTGTCTCTAAACTTTAAATGTTGCTGTTTCAGAAGTATTTGAGCTCCTACCTTGTCATAAGTTATGCCAAGATAGACATGATTTTTTTTTTTCTTTTTTAGTGACAGACAATATAGTTGTGGTTTGAGATACTTAGTCAGGAAGCTTATGCATCTTTGTGGAGAAGTCGGCATACATTCCTATAAAGTACCAGTTAGTAAATGTTTGTTTGGTAAGTCCTACATGGTGTAGGTCATATGTTTTAAGCAATGTTTTAGAAATGTGAAAATCATTCCTATCTCCCAAGTCATACACAAAACCTGCAGACAGACCTCTTCTATAGACCCCTGTGTGTAGAGCGTCATCCTCTTGGAGCCCATCATAACTGATAATCCTAGGGATGGTTCTTCAAGATTTTATATAAAAATAGAAAGTATGTTTAACTTTAGAAATAGTTACATCAAAAGCATAGCAAGTCAAGGGGTTGCTACTTAGGTGTACATGTGTGAAGTCCTGTGCTCAGCCCTGCACCTCGTGTGTAGCTTGACCAGCAAATACAGACACCTTACTACCTTCTATGGTGATTACTAATCAGACCAGGGTATGAGGGATAGGCAGTGACAGGCTAAGCTTATGATGTCAGGATTTCCAAATCCTGTTTCTAAGACAGAGAAAGTTTAGGACCATTGGTCCTAGACCCTCAGTTTTAGGTAAGTAAGGCAGGGCCTGGAAACTTAAAATGCCTCTAATTTTCCTTGCCACTTTCTTTATAAGATATGAGTTTCTATTTTTCATGTGAATAACTAAAATAACTAATAAAACTATTCCATAGACTACTAATTTCCACAAATTATTGTAAAAAAAAAAAAAAAAGTTTTCATGGCCTGGCTTTTTTTGTTTGTTTTTCCAGACAGGGTTTCTCTGTATTTCTTTGGACCTGTCCTGGAACTAGCTCTGTAGACCAGATTTGCTTTGAACTCACAGAGCTCTGCCGGCCTCTGCCTCCTGAATGCTGGGATTAAAGGCATGTGCCACCAACACCATTTATTTATTTATTTATTTATTTATTTATTTATTTATTTTTATTCCTACAAAATCCCAGATTTGTGTTCATAACCCTATAAAATTGGGTCTGGCTCTGTTGGATGTATCACTTTCCTATTGCTATTTAAACAATCTGCCACTGATTTACTTGACTTCAAATTATTGCAGCTCTGGAGATATAAGCCAGGCTTAGCACTCACTGAACTAAATTCAAGGTACCAGTAGGATGGGCCTCCTTTCTGAGGGATATAAGGAATGATTTGGTTTCTTCACTTTTGTAGCTTCTCTATACTGGTGTGGTCAGGGCCCCTTCATCTTCATAGCTAAAGATGACGTCAATCTGACTCTTGATCTGTGTGCACTGTAAGAACCCTTGAGGAGGGACTGGTGAGATGGCTCAGCTGTTAAGAGCATTGGCTGCTCTTCTAAAGGGTTCAGTTCCCAGCACCAACATGGCAGCTCATGACTGTATCACAAGTTCCAGTGGATCTGACTACCTCACACAAACATATATGTCAAACACTAATGCACATAAAAATAGTGATAAATAAATAAAATAAATTACTAACTTAAAAAAATTCTTGTGATTACATTGACCCCAGCCAGATAATCTCCTTCCTTTATAGCTTCTTATTATCTTATTTACTACCTTAACACTCCCTTGTTGGTATACAATGTATTTGTAAGTTGTAGAGATTAGAATTTGATTATCTTTTGAGAACATTTTACCCACACAGCAATATGGACCTCAAATAACCATACACTATCACTTAGGGAACCTTTGGGTCTTTTCAGTCCATCTTCACATCTACAGATGTGGTGACCAAGAGCTTAAATAGCTCACCCCTGACCACACAACCAGTTAGAGGCATAATGAAGGCTAGAGCCCAGGTCTCCCAGAGTTATCTTTCCTCCTATCATTATGCCTTTTTGTATAGTCTGTATGGAAATTTATAGTCTCTGTATTCACTGTCTATCTTGGACATGGATAAGGAATAACAACTAAAGATCTTCAGAACTAAAAATAGTATCTTCATTACTCTCCTTTCATTCCTGCATTTAGCCATGCTCAGCCTAGACATCATGCCTGTACTATAGAATCACTTTAGAAATAAAACTGCTTCCCTAACCAAGCCTCTTTGGAAGGCATCCAAGTACAACTTACTTTATATATTACTGTGTGCCAGACACTGCTAATTCAATCAATGAGCATTTTTTCATTTTCAATTTTAGTTCTCTATGTGTAGTAAACTATGTATTAATAATTTTTAAAACTCATTAGCTCATCCAACTGACATTGTTTAATAACCATCTGTATTTATCATCATCCTTTCTTCTTGAACACTCATGTCTAAGATCTCATGTTGTGTCAAGCGTGATGGCACGTGCCTGTAATCCAGCCCTTGGGAAGTGGGAGCAAAGACTCACAAGTTCAAGGTCATCTTTGGCTACACATAGAGTTTAAGGCCAACTGAGCTATGTGAAACCCTGTCTTTAAAAAGGGTTTTGTGTTACAAAGAAAAGAGAAGTCATGCCTGTTCTTAGGAGAGATAAAGACAAAGTTCCATGAAAATACATGGCAATTTTTTGTATGTTCAGTTTACAGACCTTCTTTAATTGTACTTTAAGTCCCTATTTTTTTATGTATCACCCATTTTTTTCAGTCATTCTCATTTTTATTGCATTTACACAACATACCAATTTCTCCCCTACATAGAAAAGATACACACACAAAAGTGCCCACAGAGAGACAGTGTCAGTAAAATGGGCAAATCACACAGTGTGCTAGGTTAAGTGCTTCCAAAGAAAATCACTAAGGGGCGAACGGAATACTAAATTTAGATCCTTAGCCAAGGAAAGCCTCACTGAAAAGTGTGGTTTTGCATCACTACCTAAAGTAGGAAAGAAGCAAGAATAAATTAACTGACATAAGAACACTCCAAGCAAAGGGAATGGCATATGCAAAGGCCCTGAATGGTTAACAAGGAGTCCAGTATTTCTGAAGGAGAAAAGATTGGGGGTTGGGGGGGGAGGGTCACTAAAGAACATACTCTGGATGGACAAAAA